ACCGTCCAACACTATTAGTGGGAATGTAAATTGGTAAAACCACTGTGGAGAACAGTACGAAGTTCCTTAAGAAACTGAAAATAGAGCTACTATATGATGCAGCAATCTCACTCCTGGGCATATATCCTGAAAAGATGTAAACTCTAATTTTAAAAGACATGCACCCCAATGTTCATAGCAGCACTATTTCCTATAGCCAAGACATGGAAACAACCCAAGTACCCGTCAACTGATGAATGGATAAAGAAAATGTGTCATTTATACACACACACAATGGAATATTGCTCAGCCACAGAAAGAAATGAAATATTGCCATTTGCAGCAACATGGATGGACCTAGAGAATATCATATTAAGTGAAATAAGTCTGACAGAGAAAGACAAATAATATATGATATCACTTATACGTGGAATCTAAAAAATAATACAAATGAATCTATATACAAAAGAGAAACAACTCACAGACATAGAAAACAAAGTTAAGTTTACCAAAGATAAAAGGCAATAGGGGAGGGAAATTAGGAGTATGGGATTAACAGATACAAACTATATACTATACATCAAATAGATAAGCAACAAGGATTTACTATATAGCACAGGGAACTATATACAATATCTTGTAATAACCTATAATGGAAAATAGTCTGAAAAAGTATGTATATAAGTGACTCACTTTGCTATACACCTGAAATTAACACAGTATTGTAAACCAACTATACTTCAATTTTAAAAAACATGAGATATCACCTCAAGCCTGTCAGAAGGGTTATCATCAAAAAGAACACAAATCATAAATGTTGGCGAGGATGTGGAGAAATGGGAACCCTCGCACGTTGTCAGTGGGAATGTAAACTGGTGCAGCCAATGTGGAAAACAGTATGGAGGTTTCTTAAAAGACTAAAAATAGGACTACCATATGACTCAACTATTCCACTCCTGCATATATATCCAAAAAAAACCCACCATAAAACACTAATTCTAAAGATACACGCACCCCAATATTCATAGCAGCATTATTTACAACTGCCAAGATATGGAAGAAAGTGTCCATCAACAGATGAATGGATAAAGAAGATATATATACAATGGAATATGACTCAGCCATAAAAAAGAATGAAATTTTGCCATTTGTAACAACATGGGTGGACTTGGAGGGTATTATGCTAAGTTAAATAAGTTAGAAAAAGACATACTATATGATATCACATATGTGGAATCTAAAAAATAAAACAAACTAGTGAATATAACAGAAAAGAAACAGACTTGCAGATATATAGAACAAGCTAGTGGTTACCAGTTGGGAGTGGGAAGTGGGGAGGGGCAAGGTAGAGGTAGAGGGTTCAGAGGTACCAACTACTGTGTATAAAATAAATAAGCTACAAGAACATATTTTACATCACAGGGAACATAGTCATATTTTATAATAACTAAATTGAGTATAACCTTTTACTATTGTGAGTCACTATGTTGTAAACCTATAAAAATTGCCCCGATCTGGACACTCAAATTAAAGATAGATGAATCTGATGTTCAAATCCAGAATCTGTCAAAACAAAACGAAGAAAGCAACCCACAACTGACTATTGAGAGTGACAGTTGAGGTCCCAGAAAAAACAGACCTCCTTTTCATGACTTCATTTTTTGAATGAAGATATGAATTATATATATATCACTTTAAATATTGCCTCTGTCCCCTTTTTTGTCTTCTCCTACATTTTATTGAATATAGGACCACCTCATTTTATCCTTTATATCTCTTTTTTCTGTAGGGTCATTCATTCTACAAAAAAGTAATAGGTCTTCAAGGTTTTGGTGAACTTCATATGAGCTCTCTCAGTGATGTTAGTTACTGGGTCAGATGTTAGCCTTGGTTGTGCTTCTGTCTTACATAAAACATGTACATGTACAAGTCACTTAACCTTGTTATGGATGGAATGTCTGTACCTTAAGTATTTGAAAAGAATTAAAGGTAAAAGCTTTCATTAAAAAAAGAAAAAAACAACCAGAAATTCATTCTCTCACAGGTCTGGAAGCTAGGCATCCACAATCAAATCCGTGCTCACTCCAAAGGCTCCAGAAGACAATCTGTCTTTTTTCTTTTTCCTTGTCTTTTCCAGCTTCTGGGAGCTTCAGGCATTCCTCGGCTTGTGGCCACATCACTCCAATCTCTGACTATATGGTCATGTTGCTTCCTCCTCATCTGCCTGTGTCTCTAATAAGAACACTTTCATTGGATTTAGAGTCTACTCAGATAATCCAAGATAATCGCATCTCAAGACCTTTAATTACACCTGCAAAGGCTTTTTTCAAATAAGTAACATTTACAGGTTCTTAGGTTTAGGATATGAACATATCTTTTTGGAGGTCACCAATGAAACCATTAGATTATTTATTTAAATTATGAATATATTTTAAACCCACAAGCTAATATTTTTGCTTTACACAGTCATTTAAAATTAACCTATATTCTTTGCTTTTCATTCCTAGCTGCATCTTTGTGTTTCCTTCTGGGATAATTTTCCTTCAGCCTAAAGAAAAAACTGTAAGTTTTCTTTAAAATGTAGCTTTGGAGCAAACTCTCCATTTTGATTTGTCTTTAAAGGTCTATTGTGTTTTAATTCTGAAGGATCTTTTTGTTGTGTAGAGAATTCTTGATTGGTACTTAGTTATTTTCTTTTAGCACACTGAAATTATCTTGCCACTGGTTTCTGACTACCGTTGTCACTCTTGGTATGTCATTGTCCATCGTACTGATGCACCCATGACTGTCTTTCTTTTAAATGGATACTTTTGGTATTTTCACTTTGATTTTATTTTCTGCAATTTTACTCTGATATATCTAGATTTTGATTCATTTTTACTTATCTTGCTTGAGTTTCATTTCATTGAATATTAATACCTTTTATTTAGTTCTGGAAAACTCTAAGTCATTATCACTTTCAATATTGCCTGAGTCCCCCCTTCTTTATCTTCTACTAGATTTAATTAAGTGTAGCTTAGACCTCCTCATTTTCTCTCTTTTCTCCTCTTTAGCATTTTCCATCTTGCCATCTCTCTGTGCTTTATTCTGGATATTTTCCATTTTTCTCATTTTAGTTGTGTCTAATCTGCTTTTAACCCATCTATTTCCCTCATAAATTTCTGTATTTAGCAGTTCTATCATTTCTATTGATTCATTTTCAAGTTTGCAATGTATTTTGCAAACATTTTGTAATTGATTCAGGCAAAAAAATCCACACATAAACATAAATGGATGCCAAAATTATTAGGTGAAATCTGAGGAAGAATAAGATATTTATATGGACTCAATATATTTCCTCATAGATTACTTAATAATTACAAAGGGAAAAATGATAACTTTTTGATGGAAAATGTGGCAGATGCTTTCTTAGCCAAGTGATCAAAGTTAACATCACCAATAATGGCACAAACTGACATCATGTACCTCCTAATGTGATGCAGTGAAAAAGGATACAATATCACTTCTGTGGTATTCCTGTAAAAAATTCATAACCTGAATCTAACAACAAACAAGCATCAAACAAATCCAAACTGAGGCACTCTCTACAGAACAGCTCATCTATACTCTTCAAAAATGTCAATATCATGAAAAACAAAGAAAAGATAAGGAACTGTTCCAGATTAAAGGAAACTAAGGGGACATGACTGAATGCAATGTATGATCCCAGATTAGATAAGGGGGGTGAGGCAAGCCTGCTATAATGAACATTACTGAGACAATTGACAAAATCTGAAAAATGGACTGGACATTGGGTAATAACCTATCCATGTTACGTTTGCAAACTTGATAGTTGTACTGTCGTTATATAATATCGTTTTCCTAACTGATATATACAGCAGTAAGGGGGAATGATATTTGCAAATTATTCTCAACTGCTTCAGGAAAAAAATGATAAATCAAAACGTGGAAAAGTATTAAAAGTTGATGAATTTGAATGAAGGTTTTATGTGAAATTTTTTGTCTTATTCGTGTAGCTCTTACATAATTTGAAATTATTTTAAAACAAAATGTTTTTTAAAACGTATAGTATCAATTTCAAAGCCCCAGTTCCTTGCTAAAATTTTAAAGTTCAGCTTTTATCTTCATGAAGGTAGTAAACACAGTTGTTAATGCAGGTTGTGGCTGATAACTCCAATGTCTGGAGTCCTAGTGGGCTTCAGGTCAGCTCTTGTCTCTCTAGCCTGAAAGTGCTCAAAGCACAGTTCTGCCTCTCAGAGGATAAGAGGCTCAGAACAGTGCTGCCATCAGGGTGCCAGACCAGAGTGGGAAATTCTGCTCTGGGCAGACGCCTGCCTATGCTGGGCAGAACGAGATTCAGACTGTATTCCCATTTCTCCACCCCAAAAGACCACCGAAAGCATGGTTCTGTCTCTCCACTGCTTCCTCCAGACCAGCAATGTCCCCAGGCTGAAGTAATTCCAGCTGACCTCTCTGAGCTCCAATCATCTCTCCGATCTCGGCTAGGTGATTCCTCCCTCCCTAATTATTGGCACTTTAACGCTTTTAAGAAATATATTAACTTTAGCTTTTCAGTTGTTATCAATGGGAAAGTTGGTCTGAATTACCTAGTTTGCCATTATTATAACCTGAAATCATAACCTTCTTTTCATTGTAACCCAAAAGCTTTGCCTTATTTTAAAAGAAATTTGGATTCATATCACAACTGAGCCAATCACCCTCTTCCTCTTATTTCTTTGTAACCGTAAGTCACGAGACCCTGAAGTGAATTAACATTTTATGCTTGCTAGCTAAAGTGGCTAGCTAGCTAGCTTTAAATACATAGACAGCTACTTTCTTTCAGAATTACAGCTTGGTTGGCCTAACCAGCACACTTGTAACATCAAACCGAGCCTAGGATCTCCAGTACTAATTTTTCATGAAAAGTTTAGCAATGAAAGATGAAAGAAGAAAGTATATAACCAGCTTGATAAAATAATCCAGTGATTACATAGGAAAATCAGGTTTTAAAAAGACAATACCATTCACAGGATGTAGGGCTTCCTTTAGTATCTGTGCTGAATGGGATGATGTCATTTCCTCTTCCTTTTGCTGATTTTTTAAACCATCGTCTGTGGAGATCTTAAGCCCTGAGAATTTCCATTCAGTGTAGTTCACCTGCTTCAGATTCAAATAACTATATATAAGTATATTGTGTAATTATAATAACTTAATATAATTAATATTGCATAATATATAATTGATGTAATTGATACAATATAAATAATAATGAATTATATATAATTATAGTCATATAATATATATTTATAATCTCATATATATGTGTGTATATGTATTTTAGGCTACATAGTAACTTTAATCCAGTTTCCTATGAAGAAAAGGCAGTATCAAGTACATAGTATGTGTTCAATAAATACCTGTTCTTTATTTTGATTACAGTTGAAGTAGCCTGGTTAGGACTGTTGTCCTAAAGTTCTAAGCATAAATTATAGAGTCCACAATCTGTTGAATTAAATTACATTGAAATGAACAGTCCAGAGGTTTATTAACCTATTTACGTTTGTGGAAACACATGCTCGCCACAAAAAGCCATGAATATCGCTTGTGTGCCTACTTCTGCTTCTACCTCTGAGAATAATATATTTGGGGACACCACAACCCATATTTTAGTTCTTCGGGGGTTTCTAAGGCCTTACCTGTAGTGTATTTCCACTTAAGATGTTAGGACTAAGATACTCCATTCTGTTCTTTCCTTGAATGCCTGTTCTTTTGCCATGTTTTCTTCTTGAGTAACCTGGAACCTGGTGTTCCCTTTCCTTTCTTTCTCCCACCTGAGGAGGTTTTCGCTTAGCTTGATACTGGCCAGCTTCAATGGGAATCTCAATAGATACCATCTGGTCCTAAAGAGAAGGATCAGAGCCTTACAAGGTGATAGTTTAACAGCCTTGATACTCAAGAAAGGGATTTATGAGCTAGCATCAGACTTCATTTCTCTCCTGCCGTAAAGCTGAGAGATGCCGTCTCTTCCCTCCCCACAATAAAACCCAGGATTTTGCTCCATCCATAGCCTCATGGCATTATGAATGATGCAGATTAAATTTGCAGAACACATGACATTCACAGAAGGAATTTCTTTTACCCCAATTTTAATACTGTCTTCCTCAAATCAAATTTGCTCCACAGGATTGGTGGAGATCTGCTACCTGGGGAGGAAAGGAAGCTTCTTCCTCTTCAATTGAGGTATCTAAACTGTCCTTGGTGTCCTTCTCCTCACTCGGAGCTTCTGGTTTTAGGAAACTCTCCGGGGGTAGATAGCAAGACTTCCAATCCAGTTGCACCTGAACAAATCCATTGGGTTTCCCCCCAGGGTCCGTGAGGTTAAAATCACCTGAGAGACACACAGACATTAATAAGATCCAATCACATGAAATAGGCAAGTGAGAGTTTAACAGCACCTTATCTATTACCTCCCCAGTTTGAATTTCACCATATTTTGTTTGTAATTAATTCACATCCACCAAGTAATCATGATGACAATACATTCAGAAGTAACATAAAATATCAGTGAATATTTATATTCACTCACAATATTTACTTCCAATATTCACTTAGAATATTTATAGGGGAAAATGGGCATCTCCAGGTTCAGGAAGGGATAGTCAAAAGATATACAGAGAGGTATAGCTTGCTTGTCGTCAGTCACCCAGCCAATAAACAAGAGCACATTCTTATTACTATTACCAAATGGTTGCTATGCCTTAGGCATACTAAGAAAACCATTATCTACACCCAAGTGGTCCGTATTTTTAAAATAACAAAAACAAAGAAAACTTAAGCAAAATGGCTTTTTCCAAATGTCAGACTTCTGATTTGTAACACTGATTAATTTAACAGACGGCTCACATTGCCTCTCTTTGGCAAAGGACGAGTTGTGAGCAGAAGTGTCAGCCTTTTTCTTTTTCTTTCTTTCTTTCTTTCTTTTGTTTGTTTTTTTTTTTTTTTTAGCACTTGTGGTATTGGGAGGAGGGAGGCCTCACACACTTCCTGGAACATCCAAAAGCTTGTTAAACATGGTTGATACTGGCTACACCCATTCACACTTCCTAATGAGAGCACGGACATTGCTGCCTCACCCTCCCAGGACTGCAACCAGGGAGATGACCCTTCTTTGGTGTACCTTACAACTCTGGTTATGAACATATGATAAGGTAGTATGGAGTTCAGCTCCATATGGGGGGAAAAAAATCCAAGAAATTTGTCATATGTGGCATGGAAGACTAATTTGGGTCTAATGTTTAAAAGGGGCAAGAGAATTACGGGGCAATGTTAAGGACATAGCTTATAATCTGATATCTAGTCATGTGCTAGGAAATAATAGGCCTTAAGTAAAGACAAATACTGGGAAGCACTATAGAGATGGAAAATGTTGGTTCAGACACAGAGGTATGGGCTTCAGATTGGTGGGTCTACCTCCTTGGGAATCTTGCTTCTGTTGCTGAAAAGAAGCCAATGTTTCTATATGATTAGTGAGGCTTATAAGTCTTCTACTCTCTCACTCTTGACAATATTCTCAAATCTTTTCAGCAGGTTTTAAGAGAAACTGTTCCAAGCAAGTAATAAAAGAGACAACACTGGGCAGAGAGCATAAAGAGGTAATAACCTTGAACTCCTACCTTTAATGGATTTGTTTTGTGCAAGAGGAAGCAAGGGCACTTGGACGCGGCCAAGGTACGAGCCAGGCTCTGAGTCTTCATCATCAAAAACGTACACAGACAGGGCCTCCTGCCTCAGATACTGATCCAGGTCAGAAGTCACAAGCACTGGGAATCGAGCCTCGTCTCTGAAGTAGGGATTGTTACTGGCTGGAATGACGGTGGTGTCGTGGTCAGAAAAGGTAAAGAAGCGATACATGGCATATGGACTGGGTTGGGCTCCCAGCCATCGACTCTGGAGGCCGCAGCATCGGATGACTTCTACCCGCAGCTCATTCTGATGCTTCCTGGTCTCCGATCTGGGCTGAAAAGATGTTGGTCTTGGATTGAGGAAAAGGGCAGGCTGAGAGAGTCGTGCAGGTGAAGCCCAGCACCCTTAATGAGGAAGAGCTATGACCTAAAGAACTGCTGAATCCTGACTGGGTCACAGAGAAGCCTAATCAATGACTTTCACCTGCCTGCAAATTGACTCTGGCAGATAATTATCTGAGGGAGATGCTGGCACTCAGGCCTCATCTTAGAGATTGGAACAGAGAAGGCATTTTGTTGGCAGCAGGGAGAGGTAGCTAGCTCCAAGGGCATGATTTCATTTCAAACTCAAGCTTGACCAAGGGAAGTATCTGGACTAGTTGTGGTGTGACAGTTTTTCTCTTTCATTCACATTCAACAAGTACTTATTGAGTGCAATACTAAGCTGTTCTCATGAGCTGCTTGGCTGAGTCTCCTTTGAGATGCATGGGCACATCCTTTTTCTCACCTCATCCTCCTGGGCCTCCCAGGCTCCAAGCACATTGGCTGACAGGTATGCCTGGGCTTTCTTTCGCTTATTGTATGCTTGTAGGCTGGATCTTACGGGGAAGCGCAGCCTCATCCAGTACTCTAGCACCCCAAAGACTTCTCCACCAGCTCCTGGGTAGCAGAAAGTATGAAAGGCATGGAGGATACAGATGGTGTGGCAAGGATCAAGAATAAAGGCAAAGGAATAAAATGGGAAACCACCAGAAGACAACTATACACTTTGGGAAATTCCACATTAGTCCCGGGAAATGTTGGAGGCTGACAGCACTTACCAGTAAGTGTGGCAGAGCCATGGACTCTCTCCACGGTTTCTAGAACCCTGTCAAAGCAAATCCAGCCAGCTGCAAGGGTGCGGTGCTCACTGGCTATAGCCTGGTGTAGATGAAGCTGGGCTGACGTCCCTTGAAGGTAGTGCAAGAAGAGGGAATCTGTCTCCACCACATACTGAGAAGTGAAGTCATAGAGGGGCTGCAGCCCCACAGCTAGTGGGGTGCAGTGGGTTTCAAAGTCATAGAAAGAATAGGTGCAGAAAGTGGTAGGTTGAGTGTCTCCAGCCTGAGCCAGGGCAGCAGGTGTCAGGAAGGCCTGGTGGATGTGCAGTTCAAAAAGATTCTCACTCTGATGCCGTGGAGAAATGTCCACTTTATCCTCATCTCCATGGTCTGGCAGTGGTTTCAGACATAATGACAACTGTCGGGTGCCATAAGCCACATCTTTGAGTTGTTCTAGAGGGGAAAGAAAACTGCTTATCCATTAAAGAGTAGGGAATTCTTCCTTAGGGTAAAGGAAGGTGGACAGAAAGAGAATAAAAACCATGGTGAAGTCCAAGTTGTGACTATTTCAAGAAACGATGTGATTCAAAAAGAAAAGCAATAGAATGACAATCAGGTGCTTTGAATTCTGATGGCCAAATAATCCAATGCCTACTTTAGAGATGAGGCACAACATGAGTGACTGGAAAGTAAATGCTAAGCTCAGGAAAACACTGGAGGCACAATTTCATCTAGAGATGACATCGTTTTGGATTACAGCAGGATCTTGTGGATTAATTGTTAATTCCATTACAGAAACACTAGAAACACAAAATGCAAGTATTTCCAAAAGTTTGGGATATTGGCCTTGGAGAAAATAGCAAGTTACAGTCATGGTGTCTATGACATTACACTGGGCCCCATTAAGATGATTCCTCTTTTCCAGTCAGATCAATCACAAGGATCTTCATTCTGTTAAGAATCTGGTTTCATTGTAAGAAGGCAAAAAAAAAAAAAATCCACTTTAAGTCAAAGAGTAATGGAGTAAAAGTGGGGGAGGGCACTTACTGAAAAGAGGTTGAAAATATTGGCGATGAGATACAAAATAAAGATATGTAAGACAGTCCACCAAATCTGTGCATTACCTCCCATGTCCAACCAACCAGAAACTCTGATATATAGTCTGCTTCAAATCGGGGAGTATTTGAGTTGTCACAGTGTGTTGATGGTGAAGGTCCTATTCTAAGAGTTAAAGTAGTAGAAGAAAATACTTTGGGTACATCAGAATGTCTTCCTGCCCAAAATAAGTGGAATACAGAGACTGGTGAACAGTTTCTTAATTGATAAGATTAACATAAATAAAATATATTCAAAATTTTGCATTACGTGTCACAAGGTTAATAATCTTAGCATATAAAGAACTTCTACAAATTAACAATATACTATTAAGAAATAGTAAAGGGCAGGAACAGGCAAGTCTCAAAAGAAATAATTTAAATAACTGGTAAACATATGAAAAACTCTTCAGCCTTACCAGTAATGAAAGAACTACAAGTTAAAGCAAATAAATCTTCAGAGGTAGGTAATTGTATTTATCCTGCACTGTCCTGGGAGAAACACCCTGAATCTGAAAGACATGAGAATTTCAATCCAAAGGATTTCCTTTGTTATATGGCAGGGACCTTTTAACTGACGCACCCTGGCATGCATAAATCATGCTTCTGAATGACCCACCTCCCTTTACTCTAGTTCCAGCCTCACTAAGTATCCTTCTTATTGATTCTGCTTCCCCAAGAACGAGCTGCCATGAGCATATTCTCAAGGCAGCAATGAAAGAGCCACTATCATAAAATAACAAATGAACATTTGGGTGTAAATATCAGTCTTTGGTGAATGTGGTTAGTACGGGTCAGGTCTCTCACCACTGGGTATAATAACAAAGCCAATTTTCTCAATATGTAAGGCTGAGACCAGATCCTGGTCGACAGTGACTGAATTAAATACAGGAAGTATCACATAATAAAATTTGCATAAGTGTCCAGCCACCTGCCCTGTTATGTAGACATCCTCAGACCGCAACAAAGAATTCAGAGACTTTTAGAGAGAAATCACAGAAAAGGATGACAAGAGATGAGTGATGTAGCTCTATTATCTCCCCAAAACTGAAATATAGGCCTGGCTTGAGGAAACAATCTTGAGAGAGGGAGCGTGTTACCCACCCTGAGGACCAACAGTGATACACTCTTATTTTCAAAATAGATTCAGCAATTGCTGGGCCCTGTTGAAACTCTCCAGAGAAAAGACACTGACATGATGCAGGAGAAGAAACTGCTAACCATGTATTAAAACAACAAAGATGATAGGATAATCAAGAATGGGAGGGATAAGTCCTATACCAAGACATAGAGGGCGCCCTCTTGACAGGTGCAGAGGGGAGCACAGGCATTTAGCTCTGTGACAGATCCCAAGAGGAAGTGAACAAAGTACTAAGACTTGCCGGATACTGGAAGGCCATGGCTTCTTAAAATACCTTCCAGCTGATTGATACGCTTGTTCTTGAGGTCTAGGAGTTGATTCAACCTCTCCAGTTTTTCTTTGTGAACTTTATTTTCATTATCGGCTTTTGTCATCATTGCCTCCAGTTCCTCCTGAAACGAAATAATGTCTGAACTTTTCTATCTCAGTGGCCCAGAACCAAAGAGCCCAGATAAAAAGGTGGTACTTGCTGGGTAAAGGAGACTCCACTATCTCCTTAGCAGGGCAGATTCATCCACTAGAAAAAGGCTTAGGTTCCTCACAGACCCCTCCAGGACCAGTTGTGCTATTAGTGCCATAGGGTAGTATTTTTCCTGGGACTGGCAAAATCTGAACCCAGAAGCTTCCCACTTGCCATTTTCATTAGCTGGCCCCTTCTGGCTTTTATTGCCAAGGTGCCATGGGCATGTGTGAGTCCTCAAGTTTTTCAAAGGACAGCACATCCTGTGTTTGCATAGGTCAGCATATCACCTTGCATCAGCCCTGGAAACTCGGGTCTTGCTTCATTCCCCGTCTTGTAAGTAGTTCCCATGTGCCCATTTATTTATCCCCTTCCTGTACCATCTTTTCCTGCACCTGATAACACACGTTGATCTTGCGCTGCAGAATAAGCATGTCTCTGGTCTTTTCTAGTTCCAATATGGTCTCTGCATGCAATACTTGCAACTCACTTAACATCTGGGACAGTTTCTTTTCTTCTTGGTTTTTTGGTTCACAGGGCTACAGAGGAAAAAGCATTGGTAAAAGGGAGTATAAATGATAGGTATAGTAATAACTATTCTCTACAGCAGCCGTTGATAATAGTAAAATACCAGCAGCAGAATCTACTCCAATATGTAGAAGAGGACCTATGTTACTTTACAAGTGCTCTCTAGTGCTCTCTCCTAGTTCCTCATGTTCAACAGCAGCAGTGAGTAAGTTATACAATCTCCCATGGCTGTTTGCTCTTCAGCAGATCATTGCAAGTCCTCATCTGAAAAAAATTCTAAATTTTATGAGCTGTACAGTGTGGAAAAAGTTTGTGGAGCTCATGAAGCTATCTCTGCTCTCAGCCTTCTCATATACTTCCAAATATTGTCCTCAATCAGGACAAAATATTATTCAGTTAGTTTTCTAGTCCCTTCATCTTTTCAAGGGATATTTGCCAGCAGTCCCTCTTGTAGAGGGGACCTGTTTGATTAAAGATGCTCTTACCTCTATCTGAGTGGCCTCTTGGAATAGAGCTGGGTAAGTGGCTGGTTCAGATTGCCAGTCAGGAGACTGGGAAATTGTGTCTTTATTTTGGAGGTCCTCCACTTCCTGTTTATGCTTCTGAAGCAGGTTGGTGACTTCAAGCTTCAGATCCTTGTTTTGAGCTGGGGAAAAAATAATACAGAAAGCTGAAACTCTGTAGCTACCAACAACCATATTAAAGTTGGCCCAAGTGTGAATTAAATTTTCCCACTAATGTTTAATTCATTTTATAAACTTGCCCTTAGAGAAGCAATTCTCTCTTATTTCTACAAAGGGGTTCTAGCTTATTGACCCTGAGTTGACATTTGGACTCCAAAAACAAACAAAAAGAACACCTTCAGAACTGTAGTATGGAAGGGAGAACTACCACCACCACAACAAAATCAGGGCCACTTGACCGACTGGGATAGTCCAAACTTTTTGACAGCACCATTTAATTCAGTATCTCCCCAACCATTCCCCAACTCCATCTGACTTCTATGCTGTTGGCTCTCTGTGACACCCACCTTGACTCCGACCCTGAGTTGGAGGAAGGGAGGTTGGGCATTTGGACATTTCCATGTGTGTTTCGGGGAAGGAAGGTGATCAGCATTTAGTGTGATCATTTCAGTATCATGCATTACAGAGGAGGTTAGATTAGATTACCACAAGACTTCACTTGTGCTTCATACATACTACAAGATCCTTAGCATGCACTCCTAAGCTTTATCCTTTTATGGTTCCTGACTCTATTTTTCTTGATGTCATATTTCTTTTCCTCCACTTTTTTATGTGAATATACTAGAATATGATGAAATGTAAGTTTGATAAGACTAAATATCAAGGTCCAGCCTAGCAAAAAGAAGGGAGACAAAGGTCTCTTTGACAGTATTTAAAAATCTTCAGAATAACTACTGTGATCCAAGAATTAAGACAGGGGGAAAGGGCTTCCCTGGTGGCGCAGTGGTTAAGAATCCACCTTCCAATGCAGGGGACATGGCTTTGAGCCCTGGTCCAGGAAGATCCCACATGCCATGGAGCAACTAAGCCCATGAGCCACAGCTACTGAGCCTGCGCTCTAGAGCCTGCCAGCCACAACTACTGAAGCCTGAGCACCCAGAGCCGGTGCTCCGCAATAAGAGAAGCCACTGCAATGAGAAGCCTGTGCACCACAACCAAGAGTAGCTCCCACTCGCCACAACTAGCGAAAGCCTGTGCGCATCAACGAAGACCCAATGCAGCCAAAAATAAATAAATAAAATTTTAAAAAAAGATGGGGAAATAGTAGTGGTAACCAAGAGCAATAATTTGCTTCTCAATTTCAGGCATCAGATGCTAAAACAAAACAATTCCAAACCACCCTAAAATGGCTGATGAGAATAAAAGGCAGAAAAATTCATTTTCAACACTTTCAATAAATTGACTGTTTAAAAACATTATAACTTAAGAATTGGCATTCTCTCACATGGAAAGTCAATATGTAGGGATAAGTATGTGTGAGGTAGGTGTCATGCTTTCTTGATTGTGAATCTGACCTGACTGCCAGTGTTCTTATTCTAGTTATCCAGGACCCACACAAAAATAGGATCAAGTGATGGGACTGGAGAAATGTTGGCCCAAGTTCCCTTCTCCCAAACCAGATGTAGAGGATGCCTCATCTGAGAGAACTCTTCAGGGCTTGACCTACCTTTCTCTCTTGACAGCTGAAGTAAGACTTTTCTCTTCTCCTCCACCTCAGCATCCAGGTGATCCTGCAACTGAGAGACTTTCTGCTGTAGCTGTTCTTGCTCATTGCTCCAGTGAGGCTGATTACTGCTATCCAGCATGCTGAAAATGGGAAGCAAGTAAGGAGGGAGGGGAGAGTTGTCAGATGGACACTCAAAGGTGGGTGATATGACGTCTTTATTACACAGTTTCAGCATCTCCTGGGCCTAGTTCATCATTCATTTCCCTACATGTTTTTTCTGCCCCTGCTTTCTCTGTAACTGTCATTTACCAACTGCCTTGGAACTTTTGGGTCCTATTGAGGAGTTGCTTAGTATCACTTCGGTTTAAGTCTCAAATAACCCCCTGGGCAAACAACGCAAGTCATATCTATTTCCCAAGGAACTTCTCCAGCATGATGGTTTTCTTTAGTTAGGGAACTGTGTACCAAGACATTCTCAGGCCTGCTAGATTAGAAATAAGTAACAGAATATTCTTCTTTTCCTTACTCCGTTCCTCTGTCTACTTTCACCAGCGGCTAGTTTAGAGAATACTTGCCTTTGAACTAGATTGTAAATTATTACACTGAAGGGTAGGAACTAAACTTTTCAATAACTGCAGCCTGCACACCACTATATCTAGCTGTCAGGGCAGACCCATCTTGAGTGTAAAAGACACATGGCCAGTTCTTGATTATTTACACAAGTGAAGTGACATTGATAATCAAGCAATTATTTCTGCTTATGTCTTTTTCCTAGTTATCATTTTAATAAATGTGGTCTAAAAACAACTTGTTAAGCTAGTACTAAGATTTCTTGGCACTTCCTGCCCATACATTACATGATGATCCAAGAAGATAATGTTATGAATAATGAAGGGAAGAGGCCAATAGTAATATCTACCACAGGGAGTCTTCAAAGTGGGTAATCCCCACACTACTTTATTTCACTGAGTTGAAGAGCATCAGTTGTTCCCAGGATGCTCCCATGCAACCTCCCCAATCTACACCCTGCTGCCTTTAACTTATAAGAAGGCACGTTTAATTTTTTTAAACTTACAGGTATTTTTAATTTCAAAACCACTATGTAAATATATGCTTGTGAAAAATTAATATGATATAGAAGTATATAGAATAAAAGTGCCTCTTTGCCCTATTTCAGTCCTTTCATCTCATTAAGTTTGTGGATGCACACACACATGATATAAATTAGGTGACAATGAACACATTCTTTGGCAATTTGATTTTTCTTTTAATAGTGTATCTTAGGCATATAGATCTATCTAATTTTTTACAGCTTTATACCGTTTCAACGTGGCGGTGCAACACGATTTATTTAGTCGATCCCTATCATAAGAAATCTGGATGGTTTCCTTCTTTTTTACTATTACTAATTAAATTAACAATGTATTAATTAACATTCTTACTACACAGATCTCTTTGCACATACACAAGAGGATTTCTTTAGTTTTGATTCCAAAAAATGGGTTATCGGGGGCTTCCCTTCTGGCGCTGTGGTTGAGAGTCCGCCTGCCGATGCAGGGGACACGGGTTCGTGCCCTGGTCCGTGAAGATCCCACGTGCCGCGGAGCGGCTGGGCCCGTGAGCCATGGCTGCTGAGCCTGCGCGTCCAGAGCCTGTGCTCCGCGGCGGGAGAGGCCACGGCAGCGGGAGTCCCGCGTACCACAAAAAAAAAAAAAAAAAAAGGGTTATCTGGCATAAAAGATATGCACGTTTAACATTTTTTTGATAGTGTCAAATTCCGTTCCAAAAATAGTCTGCCAATTTATATTCTCACTAAGAGTACTGAGTACCAGTTTCCCGGTATCCTTATCGAGACTAGGTATTATTTTTATTTTTAAAATTCGGAAGGCACTTTTCAGTAATTGTCTTTTTTTTTTTTTTTTTGCTGTACGCGGGTCTCTCACTGTTGTGGCCTCTCCCATTGTGGGGCACAGGCTCCAGACGCGCAGGCTCAGCTGCCATGGCTCACGGGCCCAGCTGCTCCGCGGCACGTGGGACCCTCCCAGACCGGGCACGAACCCGTGTCCCCTGCATCGGCAGGCGGACTCTCAACCACTGCGCCACCAGGGAAGCCCCAGTAATTGTCTTTTATAACAAAAAAATGTTCTGGGATCCAAACTTGGTACTCACTTTTCTAAGAGTTTGTCATAATTGTCATTCAGCAATTTTCGTTCTTTTTCCAAATCTTCAACTCTCTCCTGAAACTAAGAATGATAGTAGAGTGCCTGAGATAAGGTTTTAAAATCTATTACCTTGCACAGGGTCTCCCTTTTCTGTTGCAGGGTGGGACTTGGGTGGGAGATTTTCTATGTTCATCTTCTATGTCTATGAGGATCCATTCAACTATAAAGACTTGAACCAATTGAAGGTGTGATAGAAATTTTAATTGGAATTAATGAGGATTCTCTGAATTAAATTTTCATGGTGTCTGGGTTTCTACTGTTAGGGAAACAGCAGAACATTATAATAGAGAAAAGACTTTGGAGAACAGACATAAATATAAATCCCAGTTTTTCCCCTAATGGTATAATCTTGAGCAAGTTATTTAACCACTTGGAATCTCATTTTTCTTATTTGAAAAAATAAAATACCCATATTTTTGCTAAGATACACTTTTTAACATCTCTGAAATTGGAATGTCACATACAACTGATGGTATCTTTCAATTATTATTGTTATTTACCTCTTTCAGTGTTATCTGCAGGATGGACACATCTTCCAGTTGGCTCTTCAAGCTCACAGCCTTCTTGCTCTCCTCCTTCAGCTCTGCCCTGAGCTCATTCACTTGGCTGAGGAGGGCATCATGGGCTGTACCCAGGATTCCCTGATTCTGGGGCAAAAGGAAAGTTGCTCTGCGAATGTTTATATCACTCAGCAGGAGGGGTCTCAAGATACAAACAACTGGAGCATTCCCTAGTGGAAATCTCAAAGAAGGGCTTTGATTTATAGTATGTTGCCTTTGCACTGTAAATTGACCTTGTTTTCCACCCTAGCATTTCTCAGGAAGTACCATTTCCCTGTGAGTGAGGATTTTCCACTCTGGGAAACTGTAATTTGTCACTGGAGCCTTAATTTTCCCAAGGTTCAAATTCAACCCTGATTCTAAATTAAGTGCCACCTTTCTCAGCTGCCTTTACCTTCTAAGCTATGTGAATGCTTTTTATGATGAAATATTTCTCCTTTTGCCCCTAGCAAAGTGATATGTTAACTCTAGAAGTTAAGTGCATTTTTCTGGCAGAGTTCCCAGCATGACCATGTTCCTTCTGGTGAGGAACAGTTGTGGCTGGTCATGTTGGGAACCCTGCCTTAGTGACTCTTAATCACGGACACTTACCTAGCTTCACCTGTACCCCACTCACAGAGGTGCAAGTATTTAGTAACACCAGAGAAGGTTTGCAACAACTTTGCTATATCTCACCACCTCACACATGCTAGAGGACTACTCTTAGGAATTTTTGAACAAATGCTATAATTCTCTGTAGCAATAGGCTGAAAAATACTATTCCAAATATTTCTCAACTCAGATCTCATATTTCAATTTTGAAAACAATGCAGTATCTTCTGATAATAGTGATAGTACCATTTGTCTCAATAAAAATTATATAACATAATAACTTTGATATAGTTAGCTAAATTCTGGTGTTATGTTACTTGAAGATGAAGATTCATTTGGGTTTCATTCCTCTGATTACTAAGAAACAGAGTTAAGGGATCTTTATTAAGTACCTTCTGGAGCAGAGTTTCATATGCCTGAAAGAAAGAAAAAAGTATTATTTTATTGATATATCAACTTGATGTTTATAATACAAATGTTTAAATATTTATTTTAAAAGACATTATAAAAAATTCCCATAAATCAAGTCAATTTGTGTGCCTGTTTACTAATTGCTGTTCCTTTTCCCCTGCCCTAGCTTGCCAGGCAGTCTGTGAATGTAATAGATGACACCATTTCTTTAAAAAGGATGAAGGGTCATTTATTCACATTTGCATTGCACTTGGTGGATTTTCTAAGAAGTATTTTTATTTTCAAACTAGGTGCCATCTCTTACTCATCATGCTTCAGAAAGGTCTCTTTCCAGTTTTAGAAATAGAAAAAACAACAATAGCCAAACTCACAACAACAGCTACTATTATTGGTTGAGTAATTACTATGTTATATGTTACTGTGTGTTTCATTATCTCTTACATTATGATCATCATAATTGTTTCACATATATTATCTCATTTAATCCTTACAACAAATCCGAGAGGTATTGTTATCTAAACTTTAAAAATGAGAAACCCAAAGCTCATACAGCTAACTTGCCCAGAATCGCACCGCTTTCAAGGGGCTGAGGCAGAACTTTACCTCAGCCTGTGTGACTCCAGAGTCTGCACTACTGACCACATTTTACTGCTAAGGGATTGAGAGGATGCAAACTTATCTTAGTATATGTGTAAGTAAGCATGACTAGAAAGGTAAATTGCTTAAAAAAAGCAAATTGTAAAACCTACATTTTAGAAAATTATTCACCATTTTAGGTCATCTTTGCCACTACCATTAATATGGGCAAAGACATTCAATTTAGAATGGCTTTCTCCCTTTCTTCCTTTAATGCAATGGAAGAATAGATGGATTTTAAGAAAAATCTAATTCCACAAATATAGCTATTTACCAATACAACTTTAAAATAACTTCCTTTCCAGATTTCCCATCCTTTCAGTGCTACCAAAATTAACCGAATCAAAAGAATATGAGCATATGCACAGTTCTCTACAAAACATAGGTTTGGAGTTTGGCCTTGTACAGATGCCCTTAGTCCCAATCAAAACAGACGTACCAAGGGCAGCACCAGCTGTAGCTAATCTCAATGAATGGCACCATCATTTAATCACCCAAGCTAGAGACCCAGAAGTCATCTCTCATTTCTGCTTTTCCCTCACCCACCCTACTTTGGTGATGAAGTCCGTTCTTCCACTTCCTGGACCTCTCCCAACACAGTCCTTTCTCTGTGAGCCTCTCTCACTGCCTTGGTTGGGACCCTCATCCTGCCTCCCTTGAATCACTCATCTGTTAAGTAACATGTTACTCATCTGTTACCTCCAGTCTTATACCAGCCAACCTATCATTCACTCTGCTGCCAGATGATCTTTCCTGGTAGTTTTGTCATTTTTGAGAAGTTGAAAATTTCAGAAAAGTATAAGTACTATAATAGCAGTCATCTATAATTCTACTACTACCCAGAATTAATCATTATTAGTGCTCTATAATAGTTTCTTGAAAGTATTATTCTTTTTGTTAACATGTATTTCAAAATATTTTGGACATTAAAAAAAGGCAAAGTGATCTCTTTGGGGAAAAAAAAAATTGATCATGTTACCAACTTGCTTAAAACCTTTCTGCAGCTCTCAATATCTGTAGGATAAAGTCTAAATTCCCGATAAGACCTCCATGACCTGATCCCTGATGTTTCTCACCTCTGTGCCGTGGCCTACACCACTCTTCCCCGGAAAGCCCTTCCCTCTCTTGCACGCTCATTAACCCCTGCCAAACTGTCAGTACTTGGCTCACGAATAGAATCTCCTATGGCTCCTTTACAGATCCTGCGCCCCATCCTCTGGTGGATCTATTCTCTCTTTTGTGTCGCACCCATACCCTGTTTGTGGATAGTTGTACTTGTTTACATCTTGTCCTCTCACTCTTGTAAGTTCCTTGAAGGCAGGAGCTGTCTTATCTTTTTAATCTTTGTATCCAAGTGCTTTTCACAGTTTGTGGTAGTCAATAAATGTTTATTCAATAAAAGAATGGTGCCAATCTATTATTTAGAACCTCTATGCCTTCTTTCTACCATTCAGATATGAGTTTCCATTGTGTGGTAGTGAGAAGAGTGTGAGCCTTGATTTCAGATAAAACTGGACTCAAATCCTGCTCTGCCTCTTGCTATTTTTATAACTTGAGCAAGTTACTTAACTTCTTTGAGGCTCAGTTCCCTCATCCGTTAAACGTACTTACCTTTATGGCTGTTGTCAGGCTAAATGAGATCGTGATTCTAAGTATCTAGGACAGAGTCCGTCACATAGAAAATGCTCAGTAATCTGGTTTCCTTCCCCTCCCCTGTGACTGCTCTTGGCTCCCCAAGTTTAATTAAACTCTGGTTGTGGTTTTTGGCTTGGAACTTAACCTGACACAAGGTAACCTCACTTAATTCCACCTTAGCAGGCCAGGGCTTGAGCCTTCTTCCCAGCAGAGGGATAATGGCAAGTACTGGAAAAAGAATGGATTCTGAGTTGTAAGGCCTGGATTTGAACATCACCTATCTATTCTGTGACTTTCTTTTTTTTTTTATTTAATTATTTTTTTTATACATGTATACATGTCAATCCCAATCTCCCAATTCATCACAATTGTGTGACTTTCGACAAACAACTTAGTTTCTCTCCATTGTGGTCTCCCATGTGTAAAGTGGAGAAGATAATACAAATCTCTTAACTAATTGATTTTCTTCCCCCAAAAAGGCACAGCTGATGATGGCAACTCACAGCTTGAACTTCTGTTAATTGTGCTTTTGTCACTGCCAAAGAAGTATTCCTTTCATGTAAGAGCTTCTTAAGTCGAATCAGCTGTATATTCTCCTTAATGGAAGCTCTGGAGAAAGAAGACAGTGCTAAAATATCCTCTGTGAATGGACAGAGTTAAGTATTTTTCCCCCTGTGGATATGGACAGCGACACAAAGGAAGATCGTTATTTCTGAACCTAAGAGATCATGTTTTCTTTATCATTTCAAAGGTAGCGGGGGAGGATTTGGGTTCGCTAGACTCTGTCTCAGAGATTCCCAATTCTAGCTGCTGTGGGATGTTGACAGTGAAGGAGGCAGTGTGGGGAGAAGTGGCAGGGAGGTATACGAGAAATCTCTGTACTTTATGCTCAATTTTGTTGTGAACCTAAAACTGCTCTAAAAAATAAAGTCTATTTTTAAAAAACTTTTCCAGGGACTAAAACAGACCAGCCACGTAAAAAAAAAAAAAGTTTTCCAGGGACTGATGCACAGCGGGGGCTGAGAGCCCCCATCTGGTGATGAGGATGAAATCGTTTTCCTTCTGTGAAGTGAAGCAGCAGACCTTTTATTATATATAAGCATCCCTTTTATGTTAATCCATTACTTAACCACTTGGGCCTCCAGGTCTACTTCTCAGATTGAATTAATCCCAAGCATTCTCTTTTCCTCTGAGATGGAAGAAAGGTACAAACAAGAACCTCTTTTTCAGTTCATTATGGCTTGAGGCATGGAATGCCACACCCTTACCGAAGCTCTGTGGCCTTCTGAGCACACTCCAAAGAGCTTCTCTGTGCAAAATTCTCATCTTTGGACCACATTTTCTCAGAAGACTTGGGTGGTTCTTCCACTTGCATAGTATCGCTGGTCATAATGTGGGCACTGTTAGGCATGCATAGGCCAGTGAGTTTAATCATAATTATGACTTTGTTAAAAGAGATTATACTGTTAGAATTAGGAATATTAAACACGAAAAGAAGAATTAGAAACCGCTGTTATAGGGGTTTAGAACTGGGCTCTCACATATATAAAAAGAACTTAGAGGAGTTAGTAATCTTGGCATATGTGGAGGATAAACTTACCAAATATAGCTTTCCAGTGTCAAACAGAAATATAAGTGAATTACGACCTAAGGGGGAAAATATAAAGGGAAAGAGAGGGAATACCTTCAATTAAGGAAAGGGCCTTTATTTTCCTTTCCTTGGAAGACAAAGAGATGCTTATTTTCCATTTTTAAGCAATGAAGTTGGAATTTGACAACTTCCAAATTGGGCTGACTTTCATCTTCTCTGATTATTCTGGAATGACTCAGAAATGGCAACATTCACTTGTTCCCTAAATGAGGTTTTTCCAATTAAAGTTGTAACAGCACAGGATAAAGGAAAAGAACTCACTGTTCGCTGGGTTCACTGGATACTTCACCTCTGGCTTTTTCATTTGTCACATGTTCCTTGAATGTGGGAGGAGCTGTGTAGCTCAGCCTGTCCCTTGACTCTGAAAGTTTAGACAGAAGATGCAGACTCTGGCAACAGATTTTTCCAGAACCCCAAGTGCTAGAAATGGAACACCAAGTGCTGGAAGTAGGGAGCCTTGAGATCTGGAGGAAATCCTTATATGACCAATGATCTCAGAGGGGAGCTTCTCAGTTTTTACTTGCAAAAATATGCAACTACTGATTTAATAAGTCAGCGGGACTACAGACTCTCAAGTAGGTCAGTATAAAGGGGAAGAAGAGCAGGGACTGTGTGTCTAACTCTTAATGCATCATTGTCTCTAGTGCCTAGTATGTAAGTGGTATTCAATAATGCTGAAGTTAAACTGAATTGAAATTTAGACTTATTTAGTTTTTCTACTTTTAGCTGTTTTCACAAAGATTTTGTTGGCTCAAGGAGGGAGCTTGAAAATATAGGGCTGTGCTGAACAAAACCTAACATTGAGTCCCCAGGGTTAAGACACCCCATTCCCATGGACCTAAAACAGGGATGAGTAGGCCAGGTGAAGGAAATTTACACACAGCACTATACTTAATTCAGTGTTGGGTTCCATAGCAGCCAGAGGCACTTAGCCACTTGGGATACAGGAAGATGAAAATCTGCAGCTCCTCACTTAACAGCCTGATTTCCAGGCCTGGACTTCAGGAATAGGCTTTGACAATCTCTGAACCCATGGAATTGTATGCAAAGTTTTGTCTATGTGTATGTGCATTTTTCTTGGGAGAACGCCTAGCTTTTGATCATGGTTGCAAAGGAGTCCATTTCCCCCAAAAGGTGAAGAATCCCAGTTTTAGAGGCACAGGCCACTTAGCCCAGAGTCCCAGAGTCCCAGGAGAGGGACCTGTCTTAAGATCACTGCCGCTCACACCTAAGCAGGTCATCAAAGTTATCTCTGTTTTCTAGAGCCCTGCAAAATTTGACCAGCAAAATTCCCATTTCCATTGTCTGATTCTCCTCTCAACAGTACTGCATGGTGAACTGAGAACTTTGAACTGGACATCCTACTCAGGAAAAAAAGATTTTAGGGAGGTAGAAAGGAACGAGAACAAAAGAACAAAATGGGCGTGGTAGGCGGAATAAAGCAGTGGGAGGAAAATGTGGCTGGCAAATCAATCCTTCCCAGTGTTTTGGCCCTGTCGGGGACTTGGCCCTGAGCCTCACCCCTCTTGGGTTTCTCGGCCCCCGCCGCCCCGGCGGTGTGGAGCTGTCTGTGTCCCGCGTGGACGCGAGGCTGGGTGCAACGGGGAGCAGGGGGGCCGACGCGCTGGAACTGCAGTTGCAGGCCGTGCAGCGGGGGGCGCAGGTGCTTGGGGGGCCGCTGCCGCCACCCCGCATTCCGCCGCCGCCTCGTAGGCCCCAAGAGCTGCTCCGCCGCTGCCACCTCGGCCCTCCGGTCCCGGCCTGCTGCGGCTGACCGGAGCAAGGCTGTCCTCATCCTGTGGGCAAAAAGAGAGCTGGTGGCTCGTGCCCTCTCCTTCTATGACAGTTACTATCTCTACAGTTTATCTGGTGGTTAATAATCTGAATTGATCTCTGATATAAACTTATGTGCTGTAGTCCACTATTTGCACTTAAAAATTAATTTTCTGTCCCCAATACACTGTAACTCTTTCAGAGCAGGGACATCTTGGTGTCTGTCTTTGTTCATTCTGTTGCAGTGCTCACACACTCTCTTAGTAAAAAATGAGGCAGTCTTCAGTATATTCGTGTGTATATTTATTTTAAAATTATATAGTTTCTTTTGTACTAATAAATTATGGTCATTATGAAACAGAAACAAAAAATACTAATTTTTAACAGGGAGATAATTAAATATATGTAGAAATGTTAATATTTACTTCTCCAGTCCCAACTGTCCACACATTCCTGTACATGTGCCCACTCTAAGGATTATTCCTCTATACCCACCCTGCTTACACCGAGTCTTACCTACAATGGATAGTCAATTACTAGTTATTATCTTGACCTAAAATCATACTTTTAACCATTACCGTCAGATTCTGTGTTCTCACTGCCTGCCAGTTCTGACATTTACTATGTGGCCTGGGGCATGTCATTACCCTTTTGTGCTCGGTTTCCTCATCTATAAATAAAGATGAAAACAGTACCTGCTCATTGGATTGTCATGAGGATAAAATAAGGGCTTTGAACAGTGATGGTGCATTGTAAGCAGGGTAGGAGTTAGCTATTATTAGTACATATCATTATATCCAGATAAAGAGATCAAGGCATTAAACAGCTAGGTAACTTGCCCCAAGTCTGAGGGGACAGAATCCAATTTAGCCACTTACTATCTATAACCTCAAGTACTTTTTGGTTACTGACCAACAGACAAAGTTTTTTGGCCCATGCAACCATCTGACTTCACTGGATTCTCGAGTTCTCCACAATATAAAATAATCTCCAATTCAGGGCTTCCCTGGTGGCGCAGCGGTTGAGAGTCCGCCTGCCGATGCAGGGGACACGGGTTCGTGCCCCGGTCCGGGAAGATCCCACATGCCGCGGAGCGGCTGGGCCGGTGAGCCACGGCCGCTGAGCCTGCGCATCCGGAGCCTGTGCTCCGCAACGGGAGAGGCCACAACAGTGAGAGGCCCACGTACCGCAAAAAACAAACAAACAAACAAAGAAAAGAATCTCCAATTCTGAAGAGTGTTGGCATACAGTGGAAGCCTGCAATACTGTAGATTCTAAATGAAGCTCTGAACCACTCCTGGGGATTACCAATGAGAAAGCAAAGCAATGCTCTTGACATCGGGGAATTGGTCTGACATAGCTAGTCCTCAGTGTTGTTTGGTGGCCTGGCATTCACAACTAGGCCATGTTACTGTGCTGTTGGACATAATCTCACAGATCAACAACATCACAGAAGGCCACTCTGAGACCATGACCGAGTGATACCAAACAAGGCCGCTGTATACTTTTGTCTCAGCCCAGACAAAAACAAGTTCACTCTGCCACCTGCAGAATACCAAACGTGCTCCTCTCCTGACTAATATGAGTGACTGCTGCTTCTTTCCCGATTACACCTTTAGCCTCACTCTAGTCTAACCTCCCTGTAGATAAGACATTGAGATATCCAAACAGAACTGCCCCTGCTTTCTGACAGTACCCAATCTAGAGCAAACTTCTGTTACCTTGGACCCTCCCCCAAATCGCCCAACTGAAGCCAAAATCCTGTAATAGGCTCTTTCTAACAGTCTTACTGAGATGCCCATGGTGTGCACTTTTTCAAGCTACAGCAGTAATTAACCCAACTTGCCCAGCTATAGGTGTGTTCCTGGTGGTGTTTGGCTGGGAGGCATTGACACAAATATCTTCAAAATGTGTTCTAGATATTAACCCCAGACTTTTGGAACTCTCATTCTGCCCATCTATTTATCTACCCACACCCCATCTCAGATTCTTTTCCAGGTCTGCACCCAAAAGGTACACTTTTGAAAGCCAATACCCTAAAGTCACTGTGTATGGTATATTTTGGAGTTAAGAGCTTTCAGCTCTGCCACCCACTGGCTATGACCTTGGGCAAATTACTTAACCTCTTTGCACTCCCTTTCATTCTTTTTTTTTTTTTTTTTTTGCGGTATGCAGGCCTCTCACTGTTGTGGCCTTTCCCGTTGCGGAGCACAGGCTCTGGACGCGCAGGCTCAGCAGCCATGGCTTACGGGCCCAGCCGCTCCGCAGCATGTGGGATATTCCTGGACCGGAGTACGAACCCGTGTCCCCTGCATTGGCAGGCGGACTGTCAACAACTGCGCCACCAGGGAAGCCCTCCCTTTCATTCTTAATGATGATTCTTTCATAGTATTAAATAGTATTAAATGAGTTAACACATATAAAGCACATATAACATGCCTGCATACAGTAAATGATCAATATGATTTTTGGTAAATAAAAACCCCTTCCCTTGCTTGCCCCTGCAGCCTTTGGTCCCCTGAGATTTTGGCCATTCCCCTGTCCCCGTTCTCTCTTTTGTGACCAGGGCAGAAGCCTGTGCAGTCTCTTTCTCTTTAGGTTGGAATAACTCTGATGATGCTTTATAAACTATGGCCACAGTCTATTGATTATTGATGTGTTTGGCAAGAAAACAGAATAAAGCAATATTGCTTCAAAAATTATTTTTGGAGTTAACCATCCTTGACATTTGAATTGTTTTCTGGTGTAGACATCTCAGGAAAATGTATTCTTTTTGGTTTATTGTGGTGTAGGCCTGGTGTAGATACAGCTTCTAAAGACTTAAGGAGAACTCTGGGTACCTTTTGATCTCATCCTGTTGCTTCCAAAAAAGCTCCTTCACCAACATGTGCTCTTCACGAAGACGAAACAAACTGTCCTCCAATTCTTCCCGGGTCATCCTGCTCAAGGGTAGTTGAGTCTTTACATTCTTACCTAAAGTCCCAGGAGAGGGTAAATGGAGATTATTTTTACATGTAATTTTTTAACCCATCACATCTCTCACCACATCTTGCCCAGAGGGCTTGAATCTATTTTTTTTTTTTTTTTTTTTGCAGTACGTGGGCCTCTCACTGTTGTGGCCTCTCCCGTTGCAGAGCACAGGCTCCGGGAGCGCAGGCTCAGTGGCCATGGCTCACGGGCCCAGCCGCTCCGCGGCATGTGGGACCTTCCTGGACCGGGGCACGAACCCGTGTCCCCTGCATCAGCAAGCGGACTCTCAACCACTGTGCCACCAGGGAAGCCCTTGAATCTATTTTGAGTCATGTGTTTAAGAGGAAATTCAGGAAGTATAAGAAATGTGTACCAATGGACCTCTTTATCATTCCATGTCACTCCTGGATGTGGAAAATCATTCCAGCATATGACTCAACCTCCTGTCTGGAAAGTATATTATCTTTCTAAAAGTATCAAATAGGGCTTTTAGTCTACTTAATTTTTATTTTTAATCCACTCTTTTATTTTTCCTCCTCATTAGATAATTTGAACCTAAATAAGGATTGTGCCCACAACTGTCTTCATATCCCCAGTAAGGAAAAGGATAGAAACCTTTCTTAAGTACCAAGAGCCATCGCCTTTGTTTCCGTGGTGTGGAGAAATTGTCCCCAAAGCTGCCTCCTTGGAATACAGCCTCTGCTTGATCTAAGCAGAGGAAACTACAGTACACCTTTGAGTGTGTGAGTGTTCACTAGTCTAGAGTCAGCTCTGATCTTGTAGCAGCCATTCTAAAACCCAGAGCTCAAAATACAGCTCCTTCCCTGGAAGAAAGAGAGCTCAGAACCTTAGTCTCAGAACCACCTAAGGTACCACTACCACCTCTCCAATCTATCCTTTGGAAATGATGAAATGTAAGTTTAAAAAAAAATAACTTTATTGAAGTATAATTGACATGTATTACCCTGAACATACTTAAAGTGTAAAATCTGATTAATTTTGACATAGGTATGTATCTGTGAAACCATCACCACAATTAAGATAATGAACATATAAAAGAAGAAAAAAAAGATAATGAACATATCCATCACTGCCAAGTTTCCTTGTGCCCCTTAGCAATTCACTCCTCTCCACCCCATCCTAGCCCCAACCCGCACCTTTGTTCCCAGGCAACCACTGATACATATGTTTTATGTCACTTCAAATTAGTTTCCATTTTCTAGAATTTTATATAGTTTGAGTCATCCATTATATACCCAGTGGTTTTTTTTTTCTTTTGGAGCGGGGGATGCCCCCAACCAGGGATTGAACCCATGTCCCCTGCATTGGAAGTGTGGGGTCTTAACTGCTGGACCTCCAGGAGAGTCCCTTTTTTTTTTTTTTTTTGTCTGACTTCTTTCACTCAGGAGTATTATTTTGAGATTCATACGTGGTGCTTCATTTATCAGTAGTTCCTTTTGATTGCTGGTAGTATTCTGGATAAACCATAATTTATTTATCCATTTACTGTCAATGGACATTTGGATTATTTCCAGTTTTGGTTATTACAAACAGAGCTACTATAAATATCTGTGTATAAATCTTTGTGTAACATATGTTTTCATTTCTCTGGGTATATACACAGGAGTGAAATAGTTGGGTCATAAGGTAGGTACATGTTTAACTTTTTTAAAAAATTGCCAAACTGTTTTCCAAAGGGATTATACCATATTATATTCCCACCAGCAGGGTATGAGAGTTCTAGTTCCTCTACATCTCATCAACACTTGGTCTTTTTAATTTTAGCCATCCTAGTGGGTATATAGTGGTTTTAAGTGTATTAATTTGCATTATTAATTTACATTTCCTTAATGACAAATGATGTTGAACATTTCTTGTGTGCTATATGCTATCTGCATTTCTTCTTAAATAAAGCATGTTCAAATCTTTTGCTCATTTTTTATTGTTGGATTTTTTAAAATATTTTTATTTTTGAGTTGTAAGAGTTCTTTGTAAATTCTGAATATAAGTTCTTTGTTATATATATGTTTTGCAGACTTTTTTTCTCTCAGTCTGTCTTGAGTTGGTCCCTCTAGGCAAGAAGCCACCCTTCTGCCTAATTTTGAAGGACCTCTTTATGTTAGGATAGGAATGAGAGAAGATGAAAACAGAGTGGGTAATAGCATGTGTAATCATTGCAGATGAAAATTATGCATATGAAGGAGAAATCTTGAGGTGAGATGAATTCATGGAAGTCAGGGATCTGGCTAGTCTCTGATTCTATTCCTTCCTCCAGCGAATCGTTAACCCTTCTGACCCAGATTAAGTCAGCTGTGTCTCAGATATCTTCCTATGAGGCTAAGACTTCCCACACAATGACTTTCTATGAATAGTCTTGTCTGATTAAATGATACTGAAAGACTGTTTGTTCAGTTAATGACAGTCTTCCCAAGTAGAGAATATTATCTCAAGGAGTTTGGATCTCTATCTATGCAATCTATTTGGTCTCAAGAAGACCAGCAGGACCCCAGCAATTCCTGATTCAGGCAAGTCATCCCCCTCCTCCTTTTTTCCAGTAAACAATCTCTCCCCTCCCACAATACAATCCCTGCATACGAATGATTTAACCTTTTGGAAATCAAGTAAAACTCCCAGGCCTTAGGCCAGGTGCTTGGCTTCCCTTCTGGAGACTTCTTTTCTGCATCTATCTCACATGAATCAACTAGCTTTGGCTCAGCTAGACAGGTTAGCCATAATTGCCACTAGGGTTCATTCATCCTCATATGTTATAACATCTTCTAATTATTTTGTTCCTAAAAGAAAAGCAATAAATAATGTCTCTTTCCTTTCTTTTTTTTAACTTGAAATATAGTTGATATACAATATTATATAAGTTATAGGTGTACAATATATAGTGATTCACAATTTTTTTCACAATTTTTAAAGTCTTTCTTCATTTATTTTCTTATGATTCTTTTAATAAGTTTTTATTTTGAAATAATTTCAAAATTACAGAAAATTTGCAAGAATAATACGCAGAACTCCTATATCCCCTTCACTTAGATTCCACAATTGTTACCTTTTACTTCATTTGCCTTATCCTATTCTTTCTCTCTCTTTCTACATATATCTGTTACATAATATATAATATGACATATATATTTTCTACATATTACTTTTTGGAACCACTTAAAAGGAAATTATAGACACGATGTCCCATTACTTCTAAAGAATTCACTGTATATTTCCTAAAAAGAAGAACATATGTACATAAGCACAGTATATCCATCAAAATCAGGAAATTAACATTAATATCATTTTACCATCTAACCCATAGACCATTCAAATTTCAACAATTCAGGGCCATGTGTTGCATTCGATTGCCATGTCTCTTTAGTCTGCTTCACTCTAGAATAGTTTTTTTAGTTTCTCCTTGTCTTTCATGACTTTGACATTTTAAGAGCACGGAGTAAAGGCCAATTCCTTTGTAGAATGCCCCTCAGTTAGGGTTTGTCTGATGTTTCTTCATAATGGGTTCAGGTTGTGCATTTGGGGCAGGAATCCCACAGAACTGAAGCTATACTCTCCTCAGTGCATTATATCAGGAGGCACATAATGTTGCTATCTCCACCAGTCTCACTAACATTAATGTTAACTTCAGTTATTGGTTAAGAGGGTGTCTGATAGTTTTGTCTACCATAAAGTTAATTGACAAGTCTTTTTAAAACCTATTAACTAATAATTATTTTGTGAGGAAATAATTTTACATTGTATATTATGACGACATTGTATGACATTAAACTTTTAAATTATGACCTTATAAAATTTCTACCTATTAGCTTTAGCATTATTTAAAGTTCAGATAGAAATACAAGGGATCCAGAATAGCTAAAATAATCTTGAAAAATAACAAAGTTATTTTTCACATCCTGATTTCAACTTACTACAAAGCTATAATAATCCATGGTATTGGCATAGGATAGGCATGTAGATCAGTGGAATATAATTGAGAGTCCAGAAATAAACCCATACATGTATGGTTAATTGATTTTTGACAAGTGTGCCAAGAAAATTCAGTAGGGAAAGGATAACTTCTTCAACAAATGGTGCTGGGACAACTGGATAGACACATGCAAAAGAATGAAGTTGGATCCTTACCTCAAACCATAGTAAAAATAAACTTAAAATGGATCACAGACCTAAATGTAAGAGCTAGAAGTATAAAATTCTTAGAAGAAAATATGGGAATAAACCTTTGTGACCTTGGGCCATGAAGTATTAGACATGACACTATGAAGTTAGACATGGAACCAAAAGCACAAGTATCAAAAAATTAATTAATTAATTAAAAACTTTTGTGCTTCAAAGGCCACTATCAGGAAAGTGAAAAGACAACCAACAGAATGGCGAAAATATTTGCAAATCATATATCTGTTAAGAGACGTGTATCAAAAATTCATAAAGAACTCTTAACAACCAACAATATAAAGGCAAATAACCCAATTAAAAACTAGGCAAGGGATCTGAGGAGACATTTTTCCAAAGAAGATATTCAAATAGCTGATAAACACATGAAAGATGTTCAACGTGATTACTCATTAGGGAAGTGCAAATCAAAACCACAAAAAGAAAGAATAAATTAAAAAACAACACGAGATACCACCTCAATAACAATAACAACTATTGGTGAGGATATGAGGAAATCAGAACTTTCATGAATTGTTAGTAGGGATGTAAAAATGTGCAACTGCTTTCAAAAATAGTTTGGCAGTTCCTTGAACTAACATAGAGTTACCATATGACCCAGCAATTCCACTTCTAGGTATATACCTAAGAGAAATGAAAACATATGTCCACCCGAAAACTTGTACACAAATGTTCATACCAGCATTACTTACAATAGCCAGAAAGTGAAAATAACTCAAATGTCCATCAACTGATGAGTGTACAAACAAAATGTGGTATTATTATTCAGCAATAAAAAAGACTGGAGTATTGATAAATGTTACAACTTGGATGGACTTTGAAAATATTATGCTAAGTGAAAGAAGCCAGACACAAAAAATCATATATTATATGATTCCATTTATATAAAATGTCCAGAATAGACAAATCCAGAGACTTAAAGCAGATTAGTGATTACCAGGGGCAGGGAGTGGGGACATGGGGAATGTCTGCTACAAGGTTTTTTGGGGGAGGTAATGATGTGTTCTAAAATTAGGTACTGGGGATGAATGCACAACTCTGTGAATATAGTAAAAATTAAGAAACTGTACACTTTAAAAGAGTGAATTTTATGTTATGTAATTTATATCCCAATAAAACTATTATGTATAATATATATGTATTATATACGACATACATTATACATGTATTATTATATAAATATTACTACATATGTTATTTTTTTCTATCTCACACATATAAATGAGGAAATAAAACATATACGGGCAGTTTAAAGAATAATAATAAAGCGTACACATACATACATACCAGCTTATGAAACAGGAGGTTACTAATACCCTCTGTAATTTCCTCACCCATACTATTCCCTTCTTCTCCCAGAGGGACCACTATCTTGAATATTGTATTAATAACTGCCTTGTATTTCTTTATAATTTTATAAAGAAAATTAAATTATTTATTATAAAGAAAAAAATTTATTTCAGTGTATAATTATATGTCAGTGTGTATTTATTTTCTGATCAATGGACATTTATGTTGTTTCCATTTTTTATTCTTATGAACAACACTACTATGAACATTCTGATAAATGTCTCTTGGTACATATATGCAAAAATCCCTGCAAATTTTATACCTAGAAGTAAAGCTGCATGTTCAATTTTACTAGATAATGCCAAGATTTTTTCCAAAGCGATGGCACCATTTATACACCCATGGGCAGTGCATAAAGTGCCCTATCTTTGAAATAAAACTTACAGAAGTGAAATCAAGTGAAAGTAGAATTAATAGTAGCTATGAATAGGACTGAGGGGTGGGAGAGTATGAACAAAGTTACAAAAGCATCTTAAGGTGAGTGGGGAAGAAGCGCTAGTGGGGCCATGCCCTTTCCTTTTATTTTTTTTAATTAAAAATATATATTTATTTATTTGGTTGTGTCAGGTCTTAGTTGCAGCAGGCAGGCTCCTTAGTTGCGGCTCACGGGCTCCTTAGTTGTGGCATGCAAACTCTTAGTTGCAACATGCATGTGGGATCTAGTTCCCAGACCAGGGATCAAACCTGGGCCCCCTGCATTGGGAGCATGGAGTCTTAACCACTGCGCCACCGGGGAAGTCCTTGCCCTTTCCTTTTAAATTGCCTACCTCTGTTTAGTGAGAGTGAAGGGCTGATCACATGGATAGAAGAGTGAGACCCACTCATTTGCTCTTGGTTTTTGTTGTGGTATTTGTGGTGGTGGTATTTATCTTCACCTCCTAAACCCACACAGTAAAAATTTTATTATAAGAATATATGAATAAAACGTTGAGAAGATTGAAGTAAAGACCTGAGAGCAAAGCAGTCACTGTGAAGGATAGCAAGACGCCCGACAATAACAGACTGAGGGTTGTTTTCATTCTAAAAGACATCCATCCTCAGGCACCGAATTTACCTTTTGACGCTGGTACCATCACAGATATCGAGTCTATGTCTCTAACAGGGCCTTGGCTGTATTGTCCACCAGAAGATGAGATGTCGTATCATCTCCCAAGCTGTGAGAGATCCCACAGGACACTAAAATAAAGGAAAAGTTCAGCCAATTACATGCAACTTTGGGATGACTTCTGCAGGCTATACTTAAGTTGTAGCAGGAATTCCTCAACACTTTCAGGATGGTATATAACATGACATAGTCTTTTTTGTAGTGATGTGGATCACTCTACACTGAAGGGTAAGACCAAGCATTCAGTAATAATGACATTATTTCTTCAAAATGAAATCAATTTTTCTGATTATAGAATTGATGCATACCATTTTGAATCATTTTTAAAGTGTCTGCTCAGCCTGGAAGCCAATGACCATATCCTTTCTCCAGGAAATGAACCTCTGAACCCCTCTCCACTCCATTCATACGGACTGAGTCACCAGTAACCAGTTTATAGTCTATGATCTAGTTCCCACAGTCATTGTTCATTAGACCAGGGGTAGACAACTGACCTAAGCTGGGCCAATCAGATTCTTTTCCCCAGACATTTGGAAATGGGACTAAGAGTTAAATTAGCCTCTGTGAATGGCTAGGACTATTACGTAAACTTGGGAGTTCTGGGATGGCCATATTCTGCTCTGTAGCCTAAATAACTCAGGAAATCCTACCTGCAGGGTCACTTCAAACCTTGGTCAACATTCTTTTTCTTAATTATAATATCCAATCTCCTGGCTTTAAATACCGTGTGTGTGTGTGTGTGTGTGTGTATACATGCTGTTGTTTCCAAAATTTTTGTCTCCAGCCCTGACCTTCAGATTTGTACATCTTCCTGAATTTTAATCATTTCCACTTGCATGACTGCTAGGTATCTCAAATTCACCTGTCTCACACAGGAATTTTAATTTCTCTCTCAAACCTGATCTCCCAGGCTTTCTCTATCTCCATAAATGGCATTACCATCCCACCAGTTCCTAAAGCCTCAATTTCTCCCTTTCTGTCATCCACTAGCAAATCCTCCAGGTACCTCCTAAAAATATATATCACCCTGTCTCCGCAGCTACTACTCTAATTCTTGTCACCAGTGTCCCCTACCTCAACTACCATAATGTTCTCCTAATGCTCTACCCATTTTCCTCTCTCCATCCCCCTCCCACCAATTCTCCCTGAAACATCCAGGGTGCTCTTTAAAAAACAACCCAGGTCATCGCATTTCCTGCTTAAAATTGTCCAGTGGTTTTCCTTTACATTTAAAATAAAATCTAAACTCCTTACTGTAGTCAGCATGGCCTCTATGATCTGACCTTCTTCCTATTTCTCAGATCACTCTTTGTATTTCTCCTCCTCTAGCAAATAACATTCCTTGCCACTGGCCTCCTCTCTGCTCCTGGAACCAGCAAGCTCCCTCTTGCCTCAGGACTTTTGTACTTGGCTGGAATGTTCTTTCCCTTGCTCTTCACATGGCTAGTTCCTTCTTATCCTTCAGTCTCTCAGGATCTTTTCATCTGCCAAGAGGACTTTCTCTGACTTCATAACTAAAGTGAGGACTTCTTCAGTTATACTCTGTCATGTCGCCCTGTTTATTTCACTGGTAACACTTACCATAGCCAGAAACTACCTTCATTTATTTACACTTATTTATTACCTCCTCTTCACTAAAATATAAGGACTTTGAAAGCAGACAATTGGTTTATCTTATTTACCTTTATTTCCCAGCACTTGAACAACTCCTAGAATGTAGTAGGCACCTAATAAATATATATTGAATAAGTGAATAGGTGAATGAATAACAAGTCAAGAGAGAGAATGACACTGAGTGGCTGAGTTAAAAGGTCCTAAAAGCTTCCTATCCTTGATTTTAGTCTTTTCCAAGGCCTGTCTCTGTTCCTGCCCTTAGGTTCTGTAGGAGAGTATTATGTCCTTACAACAAATTCCCCTTTTTGCTGAAGCTAGCTTGACGTGTCAACTTACAAAGTTTGCTCACAAGCTTATTTTGAACAAGCAGAGAAATACAAAGGTAAAAAAGCATGATGGAGAAATTCTATTACTAGGAGAAAACATTAACATTTTGTTGATCTATTTTCCAGACAATTTAACTTGAATTGGGTCATTCATATTTTGTTCTGTGATGTTTCACTTTTTTAAACCACAATAATTGGAGAATATCTTTCAAATGACATAATTTTAAAGGGATCTTTACAGATTTCTATATTAAGGAAGCTGACTATCACCCAAAAGTTGATACGCTTTCACATGTTAGACAATAGTCCCAGGATAAGAACAGAATGGAAGCAACCAAGGAAACCATTTTGTTTTAATGTCAATCCTCACACTGAAAGTAGCTTTTGTAGGTCTGCTATATTACCCCATTTTCTCAGCCTCCTATCATAGAGAAGTAAGATGAAGGGAAAGGAGGGGTGACTGCATCACAGACCTCGTCCTCTGGACCTGAAGCCATTTGCAAAAATGAAGCTGTAGTGGAGGAAGGGATGCTGTGGTTCTTTAATACCTGGACCCAGAAAAGATTGTTCTGGTTTATGACCCTTCCAAAATACACCACCAAAGCTGTATAGCACTATGGAGCCACTGGAAAGCACCACTAAAAATGGTCAGAGAAGCTCTAAGAATGAAATGGAGCCTATCAGAATACCAGAAAAGAAAACTCAGGGGAGAACGTCACTGAAGGTGTGATGAAGGGACATCCAAATCCAATGAATTGACCAGATTTAATCTTTCAGGAAAAAAGGAGTGGAGAGTAGATGTAAGGAAGAAGAATTTATCACTTGTTTTGCACCCAATGAAATGAAAGACAAAAAGAAATCCGTCGCAGTGGTATTGAGTTGCAGTGCACTGGGGCAATGGTAGGTGAGTGAGGGCAAAGAATTAGTCTTTAGTAGTGATTGCTGAATAAAGCCAGTATGATGACATCAAAAATTAAAATCATATAGCCAACTCCCCTTACTCTGATTTTATACTCACCTCTGATTAAAGTTGGAGAAAATGAACTGTAAATAGTGACTGTGGTCAAGAGCCTAGGAATAAGAAAGACAAGGATCCACATCTTTTGCTGTGTGACCATGGACAAGTTACTTAACCACTCTGCTTATTTCCCTTACCTATAAAATAGGGATGAAATACTCATCTCATATGGTTATGATGAGGGTGAATTGAGATAATACCTATAAAAAATTTGCATAATGCTTGGCACTTAGTACAGGCTCCATATTAGCTAAATGTTAGCTGTTTTTTGTTGTTTTCACTGAACTAGTCTCTGGCCAATTGATAATTCTATTGTATTTATCAGTATAAGTTAATGATTTATATTATATATGTAATTATCTTGTATGTTGGTTAGTATAAGTCAGTTCTCTATAGTGTTTATATATCATGTGTCTCTTCACTAGTCTATCAGCTCTTTTTTTGTTTTTTTGGGTTTTTTTATGGTACGCGGGCCTCTCACTGTTGTGGCCTCTCCCGTTGCGGAGCACAGGCTCCGGACGCGCAGGCTCAGAGGCCATGGCTCATGGGTCCAGCCACTCCGCGGCATGTGAGATCTTCCTGGACCGGGACACGAACCCGTGTCCCCTGCATCGGCAGGTGGACTCTCAACCACTGTGTCACCAGGGAAGCCCCTCTATCAGCTCTTTTGAGGATATCTTTGTACCTAACAGAGTGCCTGGTATCTGCAGATACATAATAATTTTTCAATTGATGTATTATTATGATATTGGATTGTGGCAGAAATTGTTTTCCTTTTTAGAGTTGCTTTTAATAATTTTACAAAGTTTTGCATTAATTCTCCCTCACGTCCAAGAACACAGTGAAGTGAGAGCCATAATGGTGTCACTGATTTGAGTAGGAGAGAGAAAAAAGAAGAAAAATGTAAAAATCAGGTGGAAAAATCTGCTCAAAGGAATGTCAGTAGCATTTCAGTGGAGCATAGGAAATGCTGCAAAAATACTCCCATCCTCTAAAAATTCATGGATTAAGTGGGCCTATGCGTCAAAATATAGAAGTAGGGTTTTAGCTATTTTAAATTTAATATGGATTGGGAATTCAGGTCTTCCCATTACTAACTTTAACAGGCCCAACAAACAGTCAAGTCCCTGAAAGGGGGGCTGAAATTAGGCTCCTTCAAATCTGGGGGAAGGAAGGGACAATTTGTGAATAGACTCTTAAAGAAAATAGTTTTAAAATGAGTGAGGGAACTGAGGAGGAGCCGATCTTATGTAAGAGGATAGAAGCAAAGGAGATGTAAGCATTGAGGAAGAAACTTGGAACAGAGATAAAGAGAAGCTATGGAGAAAAGTGTAGTCTCTGTAATTTTAGTGTCGGTTGTATGAATGATCGAAAAGATGACAGGAACTCCTGGAATTTGGACTGAACTTAATTTGACAAATATTACTGAGTACCCATTTTGTGCAGCTGCTACAAGGAGAAGAAAAATAAAGCTCTCAGATTTGTGGTTACCAGAGTTGGGGGTAGGGGGGAATGGGAATTGGATGAAGACAGTCGAAAGGTACAAACTTCCAGTTATGAGATAATTTCCAGGGTTGTAATATACTATGTGAGAAATATAATTAACACTGCTGTATGTCAGATACGAAAGTTGCTAAGAGAGTAAATTTTAAGAGTTCTCATCACAAGGAAAAATGTATTTATATTTCTTTAATTCTGTATCTATATGAGATGATGGATGTTTACTAAATGTATTGTGGTCATCATTTCACAATATATGTAAGTCAAATCATTAGGCTGTACACTTTAAACTTATACACTGCTGTATGTCAATCATAACAATAAAAAACATAGTTTCCCACAAAAAAAGAAAGCAAAATAAGTGAACAATTAATGAGGAGAGGAGAAATGAGAAAAGCACATTCTTAACTGTAAGGTAAAATATAAAAACTCAATCCAAGGGCTTCCCTGGTGGCGCAGTGGTTGAGAGTCCGCCTGCCAATGCACGGTACACGGGTTCGTGCCCCGGTCCGGAAAGATCCCACATGCCGCGGAGCGGCTGGGCCCGTGAGCCATGGCCTCTGAGCCTGTGCGTCTGGA